AACACAGCTTAAAACAGTCACAGGAAGCACCAAGAACAGTTTCGTAAATGTCGAGATACTTTCAGAGAAGATGTGAATGGCTTAATCAGTGCATTCTCTGATGTGGGAAATCCTTTCCTTGAAATATCTGGGCAATTGATTTCTCTTGACAGGTCCAGAATCATGACAGGTGATGTTATGAGCTCATTGAGAAACATGACAAAAATTTGAAAAGACAAGTATGATACATTGTTTTCAGAAAGGGTTTCATCCAGCACATCGCCATGGACCTCCACTTTTCACGTGAATAGATTGTCTCTTTTTGGTGTAAAAGCCCAACAATGTAAAGAAAAATCCGACCTTGCTTCCATGAAGGAAGAACGAACCCAGTTTATTCAAATGGTGCTCTCTGTGCACTCAGGGAGGGACATTGGTGAAGAAATGTTTGCACATGAGAACACTACATTACCACCATCTCTCAGTTCCCAGGGTCAGATGCACAAAGGAACTAAATCTGAAATTCTCAAGTACCTCGAAGGTGATATTGAGATTCTACTTCTGATACTTCCCCTAATTCTGATGTTGTTATTCTAGATGGAGCCTTCATCGTGCAATCACTGAGACCTGGTACAGCATCAACATTTCAGGATTATGCAGACCAGGTGTTTCTTCCATACTGTGATGTCATGGCTAAAGGGTGTGTCGTGGGATGCCTACAAACACGATAGTCTCAAATCCAGCACTCGGGAAACCAGAGGCAGTGGCATGCGGTGTCAAGTGACATCATCAACCAAAGTAGCGAGTAACTGGCAAGGATTTTTACGGGTCGATGAGAACAAAACAGAACTGTTTTCTCTGTTGGCAAAGAACATGTAAGAGATGTGCACAGAGGGCAAGCAAGTTGTTACAACCTTCGGAGAGAATGTTCTCACTTCAACTGTTCGCTCAAATACTCGCGCTTTATCATCTTGTATTCACGAGGAAGCTGATTCAAGGATTTTTTCCATGTTGCAGATGCGACACATGAAGGATTTAAACACATCACCATTCGTGCTAGTGACAGTGATGTGGTGATAATAGCTGTGTCCTGTTTCCAAGATCTCAACCTTGATGAGCTCTGGATAGCCTTTGGATACGGCAAATCATACAGACATATATCCCAGTTCACCAGATTGCTATGCAGTTGGGACCATCCAAGTCTCGAGCTCTTCTAGCATTTCATTCTCTGACCGGCTGACACCACCTCAGCATTTTAAGAAAAAGGCAAGAGAACAGAATGGGCTGTTTGGCAGGAATTCCCAGAGCTCACTGCAGCACTTTAGCGCCTGTCAACATTCTCTAGTAGAATCGATGATGATGCCATGTCCTATGTAGAGGCATTCATCGTTCGCCTTTACGACAGGTCCTTGGACATCACATGCAGCACGCATGGAATTGTTCTACACGTACTACAAAGACAGGCATTTTGAGAAATTGCCACCTACAAAGGATGCATTGCCACAGCACACATTACACGCAGCATATCAGGCAGGCCACATCTGGGACAAAGCCCTCATTTGTTCTCCAACCTGGCCTACCCATATGAATGGGGATGGGTCATGACAAATGACAAGTGGTTACCTCGATGGACAACACTTGCCCCTATTACAAAGAACCACAAATGCCTCGTGACATGTCAGTGCAAGAAAGTGTGCAAGCCTCCATGCCAATGTTGGCTGTCGTGAAATGAAGTACTCTCTGTGCATGCAGGGGAGCTTGTTTCAATCAAGGAAAATAATGTGTACATATCAGTAAACATAACGCATTGGTTATTAAAAGAATAGGCAAAATATGGGTGAACCTGGCCTGCTAAAGGGATTTTAAATTACAAAAACAAAACGACGTGTGTAGTCCTAGCATCTTCCCAAAATTATGATTGTGCGTCATTTTTTTTATTATTTTTCAAGGCGGCCATTTTTAATGTATGCAAATTAAGAATCAATTTGACCTTTTATGATAATTCTTAGAGTGTCACTGAGTTTGTTAGCCTGAACTTACTAAGAAACAAAACAACACATTGATATTTTTATCATTCTTCTGTCAAAATTTATATTCGGTTCGTATTTTCATTATACTTCAGTGGCAGCCATTTTTCATTTATGCAGGTTAAGAATGAATTTGACCTTTTATTATAACTTTGATGGTGTCTTTGAGTTTGCCAGCCATATATTTATATGAAACAACACCAAAATTAATGTTCTACCATTTGTCTGTCAAAAGTTATATCCAGTTATCATTTTCATTCAGTGGCGGCCATTTTTAATTTATGCAAATGAGGGTCTGAATATGCATTTGGACCTTGTGTCCGTTTCTATTTTCCAATGATATGGTGTCAGGTACTTACATGCCAAGTGGTTCCTTCCTACTAAAATTTGCAGTGGGTAATGGGACTGCTGGCCTAAGTCAGCCCACTACTCCTTTCTCCATCTCTTTCTCTCTTTCTTCACTCTTTCCTCAACCTCTTTTGTTCTCTTCTCCCGCTCACCTCTCGTCCCGCTCAATCGCCTCCTCTCCCTCACTCTCTCTCTCATTCATTTCCCTCTTTTTCTCTTTTGCTACCGCTATTTCTTGTATCACAAATCAAACCGAGTTTTCTAGTTTTCCCACTTTAATCAGAATGTTTGTTATGTTACGAAGAGGCCGCAGAAAAAGGACCCCCCCCCCCCCATAATTTCATAGCAGCCCACCTACCCCCCCCCCCCCCCCCACACACACACATACAAAAAATCCCTTCCCCACAGCATCTTTCGATTTCCTTGTCTTTACATGTCGAAGATTTCGACAATACTGAATTTTGATGGAAAAAATACTGAAATGTGTGTGGGAAATTGTGCATCAAAATTTTGTATCAAAATTTGGTGCAAAATGTTGACTCTTTTTTGAACGTGTATGGGCCCCTTTATAAATCGATTTTGGACTTGATAAGATTGGACCTTACGTAAAACAAAAGGCCGGGGCTACTCGCCCGATGTCGGGTGGCTAGTGCCAGGCTAGTCGACCGAATTCGGTCTCTTTTCTCCTCATAGTTTGAAGTTTTCTGCACCGATATCTCTGCAATCTGCGATTACAAATGGTTCGCGTGAAAAGTGGCAAAATTTTGAAATTGTTTCGCTCAGGTCTCTAAAACTTTGGAAAGTCTTTCCCACATATAACTCAGCTGCCATTGTTGAGTACAAAAAAATGTAAATTTTCAGTTACCACGGACTCTTAAGCCAAGGAAATAACTACTCTTTAGCGACCATTTTCTCACTAATTTTACTTCTGAAAACAAGTGACCCCCACCTCCTTCTTTCGCAAATATCTCGACTTGTATCTAAGATAAATGGATATTTTTTTCATCGAAATAAAGACAAGTGAACAAGGTTTAGGATGATACCAATAACTCTACATGCCCAAAAATTGACGCGAGCCTGATTCCACCACGCTGCCTCACATATATTATTCAATTTGTCATCTCATCTCTGACAGTAGGCTAAGCAAATCCTGGTACTTCTGTCCTGTCGATACAATTATCACCAAGCCTTCTAATATATTGCTTTTACACCTAACTTTTTTTAACCGTTCGATTGTCAAATGCCAAAACCAGAGCACAACTTCACTTTTTTTTAAAATCTTTATTATGACAGCCGTTATTTTCACACACACACACACACACACACTCTCTCTCTCTCTCTCTCTCTCTCTCTCTCTCTCTCTCTCTCTCTCTCTCTCTCTCTCTCTCTCTCTCTCTTCAACGTTTTTTTAAACACATGTTGCTGCACAGATGATGACGATGACGTAAGTAGGCCTACTCTAGTACAGAATTTCGGGATGGAGGCTACGGGTTTCGCAAGGGAAGCACTCTCGGCACCCATCGCAAATCTTAGTAGTTTTGACACCTTAATACTAATGAGGCGGGGGTGCCCAGGATCAGAGCTCAGCCTTCGATATACCGAAAAAAAGAAGTTGATTTTAGCTAATAATACTGATAGGCCTAGATCTAGACCTCTGTGGTAAGAACCGGTATGTCT